GTTATAGGGTATGATTGGATTGTTATAAGGTATGATTGCACAATTGAAAGGCTTGGGTGGATTGTTATAAAGTATAATTGCTGGTGTTTTGATGCCACGATGTTAGCTGTATATAGTTGTCAGATCATTAAAGGGATAAGTATATCAGTCGATGGGCTAGTTGTAAGGTGACAAACCAGAACGTAGCGGGTTGACGAAGATCGGTTCTTTTAATGTCGTTATATTTATATCCCTACAAGATTTATGCTGTAGTTTGCACTAATAACATTCTTTGTACTGTGTGTTTTATACTTAATGTGAATAATTTGTGTTAGGTGTTAAGTATATAAAGTATTAATATCGGGGGTGTTTGTCTCTCCATTACTGTTAATCCGGGCTTGCTCATCTTACAATTGTACCTTGTACGTACACTTGCGACTATACATGACAGGTAGCTTTGCCATGTAACTGAGTCCTGAACTGACTTCAGTTGGTTGGCAATCATTATCAATTTATATATGAATGCCAGTTTAAAATAACTTTGTACATTAAACGTAACCACACTTCATGCTTTCCTTTGGTCATTTGGCATTAAGTTGACCTTGAATGCCAATTGAAAGCCGTAAGAGTATTATGTCACTTCGAATAAACAGTCTTTTTCATTTTTTCGTGTAGCTTTCTCGAAATTGCGACTTAATAACCCGAAATTCGGAGATAATTACTTGGAATTTTGACTTACTTACCCGGAATTTTGAGACACTAACTCGTACTTTCGGCTTGGTAGTTCGAAATTTCGACTTACTTAACCGTAATTTCGAGATTCTAACTCGAAAATTCGAGATGATAACTCGAAATATCAACTTAATAACTCGAGTTAAGATATCGAAATTTCGAGTTATTAATATGTGCAATAACTGTATGAAGGGGTGGACCTTGGATTTTCAGGTACATTTGTACATGTAAGGAGGCGTAACAGGCGTTGAGTCACTCTTTTAAATAAGAGAATATACATACAAAGGGAGATATTAGCCAGGTGGCATAGGACTAGTAGTTAGCGCCTGATAAGGTAGCTCCTGCATATTCCTCAAAACAAATTGTATTGATTAATGTACGTGGTAATTGTATTAATTGTATATTTATGTACTGTAAAGCGCTTTAGAGTGGCTTATGTTAGCCAGATAGGGCGCTAGATCAAATGTTGTGTATTATTATTAATAATATAAGGGCGAGACGCCGGTCGTGGTGAAGGGGGCGGGGTGCACAAAAGCTGTAGAAATACAATTAAAAGAATATCGATTTTCATTTTCAAGGAATTTTAAAAAGAGGAATTACGAATGTTAGATGCCATGTCTGCCAAATCCCCTCTAGAGGCATTTAGGTATATACAAATAGATGTATATTACTAATCGTAATACATTATATAACAAAAAATGTTATTAACATTGTAAATGAAAAAATAGTTCAATATATCTTATGAATATCACCTTTTCCTTATCATTATTGTGAGTGAAATACTAAAAGAAAATTACCATTGCAGTATGTTTTCATTAATTAAGGTGAGTACAAGTAGTTTGTATATGTGAGTAAAAAAATGTCGTATTCCCAGTTGCATTTTTAGTTTTGATTACATTCAAAAATATTTAGGTACACTCTCTGAATCTGGAACTCTCTACAACCCAGCCAAATATTTTGGTCCCAGTGGTGCCCGGTTCAGAGTGAGTCCGCTGTATTGTTTTCGCCAGTTTGAAGCATTTTTAGCTATTTCAATAAAATGGTCAGATAAAACAGATTCCAGTATCATCAAGATACTGGGGGTGGGGGATGGGGGTGGGGGTGGGTGGGGGGTCACGCACCAGATGCCCCCATCCTAGATTGCGCTATGCTACGAGATATGAGATACATGAAGCAAATACAGTTGCCATGCCTGTGTTTAATAGTAAATACATATGTTACATCAGAAATTCCGAGTTATCAATTTCGAGTTATTAAATTGAATTAAAAATAAATAAATTTATTTTTCATACTTAGTGATCCTAATGCTATTCCCTATGTCTTTGACTAGATCTCTGACTAACGTTTCAAAAATCCTGACGAATAATTGATAGAAGACGGCCAAAACCCCTTCAGAACGACGTGTTGTACATAAATAACACCAATCTAAGCATTACGTTTATACTTCATTATCAAAGCGTGTACCCTTATATTATCAGCGAAGCATTAAGTCAACGAATGATATAAATACTTAATAGGATTGTTTTCAAATTATGCAACCGTATTGAGATTTACGAGTTGCTAGCTAACAATTTTTGTAAATAAATTGATATAAAGTTCGAACAGTCTGTTTTTAGACAAGAGTTTCCCATTGGGAACAGGGTAATGCACTCAGTATGGCAAAAAAACATGTTTATCGGGTACAAATCTATTTCATTATACATGAATCAATTATCATGGCGTCTCGATCATATACACTTGTTGACTTTTTTAACTTCGTGTGTAGTTGTTTTGTATTTCAGGAAAGTGAACCTTAGCTCAGCACACCCAGAACTCTACTGGGGCAATATATAATGTTACGTGAATATTGATGCAACACAAAAACCCAAGACAGAGACAACATACCGGTACTGGAACTGACACTTCATACTAAACACATGACTGGGACAAAACAGTGTTACTCAAGTTGATCCTACACATAGGGCATGACTATGCCAAGACATTGTTACTCAAGTTGTTCCTACACACAGAGCATGACCAGGTCAATAAATTGTTACTCAAGTTGATCCTAGACACAGAGCATGACCAGGTCAATAAATTGTTACTCAAGTTGATCCTACCCAAAAAGCATGACTAGGCCAAGACATTGTTCCTCAAGTTGATCCTACACACAAAGCATGACCAGGTCAATAAATTGTTACTCAAGTTGATCCTAGACACAGAGCATGACCAGGTCAATACCTTGTTACTCAAGTTGATGCTACACACAGAGCATGGCTAGGCCAAAACATTGTTACTCAAGTTGATCCTAGACACAGAGCATGACCAGGTCAATAAATTGTTACTCAAGTTGATCCTACTCACAGAGCATGACCAGGTCAATAAATTGTTACTCAAGTTGATCCTAGACACAGAGCATGACCAGGTCAATAAATTGTTACTCAAGTTGATCCTAGACACAGAGCATGACCAGGTCAATAAATTGTTACTCAAGTTGATCCTACCCAAAAAGCATGACTAGGCCAAGACATTGCTACTCAAGTTGATCCTACACATAGGGCATTACTATGCCAAGACATTGTTACTCAAGTTGTTCCTACACACAGAGCATGACCAGGCCAATACATTGTTACTCAAGTTGCTCCTACACACAGGGCATGACCAGGACAATACATTGTTACTCAAGTTGATCCTACAGACAGGGCATGACCAGGTCAATACAGTGTTACTCAAGTTGATCCTACGCTCAGAGCATGACCAGGTCAATAAATTGTTACTCAAGTTGATCCTAGACACAGAGCATGACCAGGTCAATAAATTGTTACTCAAGTTGATCCTAGACACAGAGCATGACCAGGTCAATACCTTGTTACTCAAGTTGATGCTACACACAGAGCATGACTAGGTCAATACATTGTTACTCAAGTTAATCCTACACACAGAGCATGACGAGGTCAATACATTGTTACTCAAGTTGCTCCTACACACAGAGCATGACCAGGTCAATAAATTGTTACTCAAGTTGATCCTAGACACAGAGCATGACCAGGTCAATAAATTGTTACTCAAGTTGATCCTAGACACAGAGCATGACCAGGTCAATACCTTGTTACTCAAGTTGATCCTAGACACAGAGCATGACCAGGTCAATACCTTGTTACTCAAGTTGATGCTACACACAGAGCATGGCTAGGCCAAAACATTGTTACTCAAGTTGATCCTACCCAAAAAGCATGACTAGGCCAAGACATTGCTACTCAAGTTGATCCTACACATAGGGCATTACTATGCCAAGACATTGTTACTCAAGTTGATCCTACAAACAGAGCATGACCAGGACAAAACAGTGTTACTCAAGTTGATCCTACACACAGAGCATGACTAGGCCAAAACATTGTTACTCAAGTTGATCCTACACACAGAGCTTGACCAGGTCAATACATTGTTACTCAAGTTGATCCTACACACAGAGCTTGACCAGGACAAAACAGTGTTACTCAAGTTGATCCTACACACAGGGCATGACCAGGTCAATACATTGTTACTCAAGTTGATCCTACACACAGAGCATGACCAGGTCAATACATTGTTACTCAAGTTGATCCTACACACAGAGCATGACCAGGACAAAACAGTGTTACTCAAGTTGATGCTACACACAGAGCATGACTAGACATTAGAATGGGTAGTGACACTACATTTCCATTATTCTTAACGATGCATACAGGGCAAGACTGGAACCTCCAATTGTAATGGTGACTGCCCTACACACAGTTACTTTTATTAACATACAGATTGTGACATAGCCACAAAGTGTCAGTGGTAGTGACTATACCCTGAGTAGGACGGTACTTAGATTGACAGTTCGCTTAGAACATGACTGAGACATTCATTGCTGCATATTTTGACGCTTCTGAATTATGACTGAGGCCTCTAGACACAGAGAATAGTGCGGTTGTTGGCGCTACATGCATATTATAGCTAAGACTCGAGACTTGTATAATAGCTTCATACGGAAAATGACAGCGACCACACTTTGTTGCGTTTATTGACGCTTCATGTATAGTATTACTCGGATCAAACATTTTACGGGTGTTTACGCTACAAACAGAATGTCTGCGAGTCAACACATTGATACAAGTAACCGTATCGACGTAGATATGTTTTACATTCGGATGGATCTGCAATATTTATGTAATAAAGTACATGTTTACAATGTAACCTCGATGTCTTGACATTGATATCAGCTTAACAGTTAGTCCAGCAATGTTTGATTGACATTAATAGATATACTTTGTTTGCAATTTCAGCAACAGCCCGAGAGTAGTGGGGAGGAAATTCTGAACGGTCTGAAGTACGTCAGACCGGGGGGAGGATTCGTACCCAACTTTCAGATGTTTGGTCTGGTCGAAATCAACGGCAAGAACGAGCATCCTCTCTTCACCTTCCTCAAGGTATCTGTGCACAATAGGGTTACTGTCTATTTACTGTGATAACAGTTATTTTAAAAAAATACGTGCTTTAAAAGTGTTACATTTCAATTTCGTAAAGATGTCTGACTGTTGAAACCAAGACATACACAAGTCTCGTTCTGAATTAGTGTCACAGATATAAATCTATGTTTTCAGAGCATTATCAAGTTTGAAAGTAAAATATGTCAAAAACAAAAAATCATCATGATCATTTGTATTGATCAGTGTTTATAGATGTTGAAAAATAACACGGATCATAAAAAGTTATTTTTCCCCTATGTTTTCAAAAGTTTATGTTTGCTTTTGTAAAATTTACTACCATTTATCCGTTCGGGTCAAAAAACGTGGCATCTTTAAAAGAAATCCCGGAGTCCTGTTATTTCAGATTAATAGGAATAGATGTTGAGGTACAGTATTGCGGTATACATTCATGGTAAAATTCCACGTACATCCATGTGTATACCTGACTATGACAGTTCATAAATAGGAAAAATTCAGAGTCATATGTCTGTGGGATCGAGGTCTATTTATCTCCACGAGAGAGTAGAGAAAACAAATGTTTGAGCCGATTTCATATCAAAGCTTTATTTTACAGAAATACTGCCCTCCCACGAGCGACACATTTCAGGACGATAGCTTGTTATTGTACTCGCCTCTAAAGGTCAGCGACATCAGGTGGAACTTCGAGCAGTTCCTAATAGGCAAGGACGGCAAGCCATACATGCGATTCTCGCCGGAAACCGACCCAATGGCGCTAAAATCGGAAATTCAACGCATGCTCCAGACCAAACCGGAAGCAGAAGAATCAGAGGGGTTTAGAAATGGTGTTTGACGGTTGTGTTCCGACATATACTTTAGTATTTTGTCTTGGTTTAGAAGTCACTTTGTGTTTTAATTGTTCATTTTATTTCATTTGATCATTATCTTGTTATGAAAACTACAGGTATTTGCTGAATGAGTTTTCCTTTTATTACCGAATGACGGGTTACCATAAACCAGCACTGCTGAGCGTTAACCTTGATATATAGCATGACCTTCAACTCTGTGCATTCCGTTGAAGACTCATTCCTATAGTAACTTAACGGAAAGCTAAACATAACGCAAATAAATGTTGTTTTTTCTCATGATTTAAAGCAGTTTTCTTGTTCCTTGATTTCTTGTTTGAGTCTATTAGATTCAGAGGAAACCCTTTGTTACGATCTTCTCGTTACATGTATATTAATTACATGTGCATTTCAAGCGTTTCGCGTCTTCCTTGACACTAAGACTGCTCATTACCTCATATAAGCGGGCAACGCTATACACAAATTGGATAAAATGCTAATATGATCTACTAGAGTGAAGTTTGTTACTTATTCGATATTGACCTAGCTGTATAACACGTAGTTGATAAGAAACTTCTTAAGTTTCTGGTGTTTCCCTTATGCTATACGTGCTTTCAGTTCGGTACCCAGAAACGAACTGCCAAAAAAATGGAATTAAAAAACAAAACAGAAATCAAGCTTCACAAACAAAGAATACAAATTAACAATGTACATGCCACAATTAGCTCAACACTTCGTATCAGTGTTATCTCGGAGAAATAAAAAAAAATGTGATTTCCTACCACAAGGGCAACGCATATTTATTATAGCGAAATAACATAATAGACGACTGGGTTGACGCGCCATTTTTGTCATCTGCTATAGCCATTCGGAACTCGGTTGTATTTGGTTCTTGTCGATTTTAAGGCTGATATACTATTTTATTACATACTTACTAATAAATACGGTATTTTGTATATGCGATACGACATAATTACTCTTACCCATATCAGCCTTCGCCGTAGCACACCTGAAAAGCCGTATTGACCAATAATGTGATCAATATTATCCAATCAGACAAGCTGTTAAAAAGGTGATGCATATTATATCATTCAACGATCCGGTTTATAAACACAAAAATGTTTATTGTTTGATACTAGATTATGGATGGTGTTATTTTAATAATAATGAACAGTATTGTGTTTACCATCTTACGACGACACCAGAATAAACATAGAAGACAACTACATGTAACTCCCTTTTCGTCTTCTAAAAGAGAGAGATAGTTTTTGGTTAACCTAGTTCAGTTGATCAACATGTTAAAGTGAATAATACTTCCTCAAAACCTCCAGCCCAGTACGCCTCAGTGGCGTAAAACCTCCAGCCCAGTACGCCTCAGTGGCGTAAAACCTCCAGCCCAGCACGCCTCAGTGGCGTAAAACCTCCAGCTCAGTACGCCTCAGTGATGTAAAACCTCCAGCTTTGTACGCCTCAGTGGTGTAAAACATCAAGCCCAGTACATACGCCTCAGTGGCGTAAAACATCCAGCCCAGTACGCCTCAGTGGTGTAAAACCTCCAGCCCAGTACGCCTCGGTGGCGTTAACCCTCCAGCCCAGTAAGCCTCGGTGGCGTTAACCCTCCAGCCCAGTACGCCTCAGTGGCGTAAAACCTCCAGCCCAGTACGCCTCGGTGGCGTTAACCCTCCAGCCCAGTACGCCTCGGTGGCGTTAACCCTCCAGCCCAGTACGCCTCAGTGGCGTAAAACCTCCAGCCCAGTACACCTCAGTGGCGTAAAACCTCCAGCCCAGTACGCCTCGGTGGCGTTAACCCTCCAGCCCAGTACGCCTCAGTGGCGTAAAACCGTCAGCCCAGTACGCATCAGTGGCGTAAAACCTCCAGCGAAGTAAGCCTCAGTGGCGTAAAACCTTCAACCCATTACGCAACAGTTGCGTAAAACCTCCAGCCAGTTACGCCTCAATGACGTAAAACCTCCAGTCCAATATGCCTCATTGGCGTAAAACCTCCAGCCAGTTACGCCTCAATGACGTAAAACCTCTAGCCCAGTATGCATCAGTGACGTAAAACCTCCAGCCCAATATGCCTCATTGGCGTAAAACCTCCAGCCCAGTACGCATCAGTTCGTTATTTGTGATAAATCATCCCTCACTGGTGTAAAACATCCAGCCAAGTACGCCTCAGTGGCGTAAAACTTCCAGCTCAGTACGCCTCAGTGGCGTTTAACCTCCAGCACAGTACGCCTCAGTGATGTAAAACCTCCAGTCAAATGCGCCTCACTGGTGTAAAACCTCCAGCCCTGTACGCCTCACTGGTGTAAACCTCCAGCCCAGTACGCCTCAGCGACGTAAAACCTCCAGCCCAGTACCTCTCACTGGTGTAAAAACTCCAGCCCAGTACCTCTCACTGGTGTAAAAACTCCAGCCCAGTACGCCTCAGTGCGTTGTCTGTCATGTTATCGACCTCGATCGATCGTAGTCTCCAATACCTACTCGATCCAATTTCGGAATCAAAGAAAATAACTACATAATTATACAGCTTTTAACATCCCTTTAGGAACACCCCGTTCGGACAACAGAAAAGTTTGCATTATTTTATGATTGAAACCAACCAGGATTCGGGCCGAAGCGATGTAGCAGAATTGACCTGCACTAGAACACACCATTAATACATTGTATAAGTTATTACATGTAGTATAAAACAACCAACATAAACACCCCTTGGACGAACTATATGTTCGCCTAGGGTGGATCCAAGGTTGCAAACCCCTACACCCGGATTTATTAGCGATACTATGACAAACATCAGTGGAGTGAAGGCATACGTGGGCGGATGGTGTTTATGGCCATAGTTACGCGATTTTGCCTGAAGCACAACATTATAGTACACGACCCGGTTGATCAGCATAAAGTTTACAGCGAATATGATGAGGCGGAACAACTTTATTGATACAGCATAATTTGTCCACGTCGTGCAACTGTGTAATAACCCATCCGCATAAAAAATGTAAAAATTATACACGTTAAAGTGTAGCACTAATCCTCATAAAACAGTATAAAACCGATACATGTACAACAGTATTATAATTGATACACGTACAATAGTGTTATAACTGATACACGTACAACAGTGTAAAACAGACACGCGTACGACAGTGTATAACTGATACACATGCAACAGTGAACAACAGATACGCGAATAACAGTGTATAACAGATACACGTACAACAGTATAAAAACGTACAAGCACAGCAGTATATAACTGATTCATGTAAACGGCGTATAACTGAGACACGTACAACAATATATTGGTGATCTAGGTAGAAAGTTTATAACTGATACATGTACAACAGTGTATAACAGAAACACGTACAACAGTGTATAACAGATACACGTCACCAGTGTATAACAGATATACATACAACAGTGTATAACAGATACACGAACAACAGTGTAAAACAGATAAACTTACAACAGTACATCACTGATACACGTACAATAGTGTATAACAGATACACGTACAACAGTGTAAAACAGATAAACTTACAACAGTACATCACTGATACACGTACAACAGTGTATAACAGATACACGTAACCAGTGTAGAACAGATAAACTTACAACAGTGTATAACAGATACACGTCACCCGTGAATCACATTGGTCGGATCATCTACACGTGACCAGTCCTCAAAAACTCATGTAGACTGGTTAAAGCCTATATGGAAATTCCCCGGAACCTGTCGTAGCGCAAGCGCAGTTAGACCGGAACGCGATCTGTCAGACGACAATAGAAGATGGCTACTGGCGAACGTTGCTCCTCCGTTACATCAGAAAATTACCAAAACTCTTCGAGAATAAAGATGCTGTTGACATAAAAAAATAGTCATGTGCATGTCCTCCAGGCTTATCTTAAGAAAAAGAACCTAAACGATGCCTTCGAAAGCTACAATGCTGAACTGTTGATTCAACCCTGGCTAAATTTTACACGGAGGCTCGCGTACGAAAATCAGAACCTTTTGTTTTGTTTTGTTTTATTTTATTGTTGAAGCATATAATAACACAGTTATGGGCTTTTGTGCTGGTAAATATGTGATATGAACCTGAAAAAGTGATATTGACCTCGGCTTCGCCTCTGTTAATATCATTTTCTCAGGTTCATATCACATCATATTCACCAGCACAAAAGACCATAATTGTATGATAACATATAAACGTACAACAGTGTATAACAGATACACGTACAACAGTGTATAACAGATACACGTACAACAGTGTATGACAGATAAACGTACAACAGTGTATAACAGATACACGTACAACAGTTTATAACAGATACACGTACAACAGTGTATAACAGATAAACGTACAACAGTACATCACTGTAACACGTACAACAGTTGATAACAGATAAACGTACAACAGTGTATAACAGATAAACGTACAACAGTGTATAATAGATACACGTCACCAGTGTATAACAGATACACGTACAACAGTGTATAACAGATACACGTACAACAGTGTATAACAGATAAACGTACAACAGTGTATAACAGATACACGTACAACAGTGTATAACAGATACACGTACAACAGTGTATAACAGATACACGTACAACAGTGTATAACAGATACACGTACAACAGTGTATAACAGATACACGTACAACAGTGTATAACAGATACACGTACAACAGTGTATAACAGATACACGTACAACAGTGTATAACAGATACACGTACAACAGTGTATAACAGATACACGTACAACAGTGTATAACAGATACACGTACAACAGTGTATAACAGATACACGTACAACAGTGTATAACAGATACACGTACAACAGTGTATAACAGATACACGTACAACAGTGTATAACAGATACACGTACAACAGTGTATAACAGATACACGTACAACAGTGTATAACAGATACACGTACAACAGTGTATAACAGATACACGAACAACAGTGTATAACAGATACACGTACAACAGTGTACATGTATAACAGATACGCCTACAGCAGTGTATAACAGATACACGTACAACAGTTGATAACAGATACACGTACAACAGTGTATAACAGATAGACGTACAACAGAACATCACTGATACACGTACAACAGTTTATAACAGATACACGTACAACAGTGTAAAACAGATAAACGTACAACAGTGTATACAGATATGCGTACAACAGTGTATAACAGATACGCCTACAGCAGTATATAACAGATATGCGTATAACAGTGTATAGCAGATACGCGTATAACAATGAATATCAAATACACGTTCAACAGTGTATAACAGAT